CAAAGCACCAAAGCAGTAGAACGATATCGACGATCTTTGCTGCACTCAAAGTCAAACTTTGTGTTTTCCAAAGTTATAGGGCAAAAACCTGCATTTCTATGCTATTTTTGATAATCTGAGAAATTACTTGAATTTTTGAACCACTATATCTCAGTACCTATTGGATTGAATACTTTTGGCCAGTGAAATTTAAAGGAAATTTGAGGTTATTCAAATTTGTTGAGAAGTTATAAGCAAAAAACTAGAAAAGTCCGATAATTTCGAGGTTTTAGTTGCGGTTAATGCGGAAAATAATTCAGGTACACAGTAGACATATAGGTATCGTCTGTGGGTGCACGTGAAGATGAGGATGAAATATGTTTATCCTATGCTTGGTTTGAATTGTGGTCGGCCGGAAGAAATTTTTGACAAGTTGAGAATTTTTCTGTATCTTTGAACCATTGTATCTCGGTTACTATTGCGTTGAATAATACGTTTGACTAGTGAAATTTGAAGGAAGTTTAATGTTCCTCAATTTCATAACTAGGTGTATTCCGCTAAAACGCATGGTTTAGAAAATATAAGCAAATAACAGGAAAAGTCCGAAAATTTCGTTACATTATACCCACAAATGACATACAAAAATATCATTAACTTCGGAATACTTTCCAGCAGAAAGTAGTTGCCTGCTGGAATATAATTTGATGCATTTGTTATGAGTCTCTCTTATCATAAAGAAATAACAAACATTATATTATTTGCTTCAATTTCATATGAACTAGGTGGCCTATAACTTACTAGTGAGTTATTATAGAGGTCATGACTTACTACGATGCATACCCATACCCAAGGTTCCTAGAATTAATACGTTGTCTGGTAATGGGAGATTTATGACGTGTCTGGGATGCCTTATGGGGGTTTGTATTATGTTGAGGCACCCCAGATGACGTCACCCACCTTTACCCTGATAATGACAACTTCAAATTTGGATTATTTTCATTATTTATTATAACACGTGATTATATGAAAGCGTTGTATTAGACACGTGAGTGTAATAAATAGAAACATTTATTTTCGTCTATATCAATGAGCATAAGAAAAAACAAGAAGAAACCGAAAATTGCTTGAGATAATCCCATTCTTGACCTTCAAATCAATTTTGAATGAGTTAATAAAAATGTTTTTAATTTTAAACAAAGTCAATTATCTTCTTCTAAGTATTTTCTCAAGCCATCAGTAAGCAATAAAGTTGCAGACCATTTTGTTGGTAATTTTACCAGAGTAACAACTTCCTCGCAATTTTAAAACAGCTAGTTCTCATTTTTATTTTTTCTAGGTTTCAGCATTTTTATTTAATTTTTTGCATTATTTCAACTTTTAACCTGGTTATTTCTCCATCTTGAAACTCTAATTTTGTTAGTCTCCGTTTTCCCATAGAAAAACAACATTATGCAGAAAAAAAAAAAACTTCTAATATTCCTAGAACCAAATACGAGGTAATCCTCAACTGAACCTATAACATTTTAGTGCAGCTATAAACCGTAGATTAAATTAGTTTTTTAACGAGTGGTGCTAACGTATGAAAAGAGATTTTTTTTTATACCAGTACGAATATTCATTACCTACCACATAAGCATCTTGCAACATGGTAATAATTTTTACTTCTTTTAAAATTGCTCTGTTTTCAATTATGGTTCTTAAGGATTTATGTTTATTTTTATGTTTTCCTGAAGCTGTATTATAATAACATAATAATATAGTAGAGAATGTTTGGGAGAGTTCAATCCTAGTGATGCATTTTGACTAGTGAACTGGTAATCATTAGACATTACCAATTGAAATAATCCAAAACGACAAACAAAAATATTCCTTAAAGAATGAAGGCCGTGAAAGTCTTCATTCTTTATTTAAACACATCTACGGGGAGGAAACAGCACGACTTATTCAACGCTTGGAAAACTTACGCAAGAAAAGGCCCATTCTGTAGGCTCCCTTGCTTTTCTCCAAAGATATAGAGACTCGAAAGTCGTTCCGAAATTCCTGAAGATTCGAAGAATTTTTAAATCCTCCCAATCTAACAGAATTTTTGAATGGGCATGGATTCATCAGACAAGGAAAGACCTATATGGACAAGGATCTTCTTTCCATAAACCAAAGGTTATCCAACAGCATGCATTGGAGTGACTGGGACATAATTGACCGAATGACGTATGACATGATAGAAGCCACACTAACAAAAACAACCAAGAAACTGATGAATAAGTTTGAGTCCTTGAAACCATTGAACACTGCGAAACCCACAGGCAATGATCGCACAGTGGTCAACCTGATCCAACGCGTTCTGACTGATTCAGAAACCAGTTTTCTAAGAATTGCAATAAGACCGAAAGACCTGCCATTCGAAGATATTATAGCAAATGTGAAACCCAGCATACGCACATTACTTCAAACCACTGCGGAGAAAATATGCAATGAAACATCTAGGATTCTACGACTAGCGAAACCTCCAAAGTGCAATCTGAAATAAGAGGAAAGGAAAGCTTTTCGCAGCCTGAATACAGACAAGAATATACTAGTTCTGCCTGCGGTTGAAGGAAACGCAACGGTAATCATGAATGTGACTGACTATGACTGAAACATTTCCGAACTGCTAGACCCCTCCACCTACAGAAAGCTGAAGCTCAATCCCACTGCTTCTATATTGCGAAAAACCAATCAACTCGTCCGAGCACTACCGCTGGACCCGGAAAACATAAGGAAACTCATCAAATCTGAGGCCTTACTACCTACCTAGAATATATGGGCTTCCGATGATTCACAAAACAGGTAACCCACTCAGACCCATTGTAAGTGCAATATACTCGCCCACATACAGTATAGCCAAATACCTCACCACTCTCTTCCAGCCACGCATTGGCCAATCCCGCTCTTATGTTAAAGACGCCACTCATTTTATCAAAAAGATCAGTGACATCACTCTACTACCAAACGACATTCTGGTTAGTTTTGATGTCGTTTCGCTGTTTACCAAAGTACCAGTAAATCAGGCCTTAGAGTATCTGAAAGATGTTTTTCCGGAGAAAATCAACAACTTATTTCACCAGTGTCTGACGATTACGTACTTCCAATGGCAAAATGAATTATTTGAGCAGGCAGATGGAGTCGTAATGGGGAGTCCACTCAGTCCGGTTTCGTCAACGTCTACATGGAACACTTCGAACAAATGGCACTGCGAACACCCACAAAGAAACCTACTTGTTGGTTTCGCTATGTAGATGACACTCTTGTTGTTTGGAACCATGAACAGGCAGAGCTCGAAAACTTTCTTAATCATCTAAACTCAATAGAACCTCAGATACAGTTCACAATGGAAGTTGAGAAGGACAAAAAAATTGCTTTCCTTGACGTCTTCTTAGAAAGATTACCTTCAGGTAAACTGAGACACAGACTATATAGGAAACCGACGCATACGAACAGATACCTCCACAAGGAATCCAATCACCATCCTAGGCGAGAGGAATCATCAAAACTCTATCTGACAGGGTAATCCGGATTTGTGAACCACGATACCTTCAGGACGAGATGCAACACCTAAAATCAGCAGGGAAATAAGTACTCAAAGCAGGAGATAAATAGAGCTATAAGACCAAAGCAACAGCGCACAAATAATAGGGAACCAGCACAAGTGGCAGGGATATCAAAAATGTCACAGATCGCATAGGACGAACGCTAGAAAAACACAACATTAAGCCCATCTACAAGCCCACAAAAACAATTCAGCAAAATCTAAGATCGGCCAAGGATCCTAGGGAACCTCTTGAAACGGCTGGTGTCTATAGAATTTCCTGCTCTTGTGGATCTGTCTATGTAGGAACCACCAAACGCTCCATCAACACCAGGGTCAAAGAGCACAAAAGAAACTGTCAGTAGGGACATCTAGCATCACCGAACACGTGTTAAGTGACAAACAAACCATGTCATCCGTTTCGACCAGACTCAAGCATTGAATAAAACCAAACAATTTTACACCAGACTCCACAGATGAGAAATCATAAAGATACAGAAACACCACAGCAACTTCAACAGAAAAGAAGAGGGCATGAACCTTAACAGAAGCTGGTTGCCAGTTCTCCGATAAACAAAGACCCTTCCTTTCTAAGAACGAGACAAGCAAAATAGCGTAATACAAGCCACGAGCACAAGCCTGGATATAAATAACGCAGGTTCAACAACGTCAAAATCAGTCATCGGAGGAACGGATGTTAAGGAAAATATGGCAAAGTGCCGCATCGATACCAGAAACTTGAATACGAGGGCAAATAATAGGCTCTCACGGCTTCGACTAGTCCACGACAGACCACAAATTTTTGAAGAACAGTGACGGAGATACGAGACCGAAAAGAGGGACCGCATGAAGGAGCGAGAGAACACAGGAAGAGACAATTCTGCCAAGACTATGGAAGAGTATGCGGCTACAGAATTGGTTTACATAGCTATCAGAGAACTGACGACAGTAAGAATAGAAGAGGGGATAAATTATTATAGTATGAACTAGGTATCGAGTCATCGCCTATGACAATGATGATGACGATTACTTTAAATTTATTGATGATGACCAGTTCAAAAGTTTCATACTCAGAAAGATACAGGAGCGGAGCTGATATCAATTAAGTGAGGTGTGAGACATGAAAATACTCTATATTATTATTTAAACTAGAATCAATGAAATGGGGAGAACAAGGAATCAATAATATCATTTGAATTTTTGATTACCGACAACCATAACCGCAAAATTGAGAGAGTATGAAAACGAGTCCAGAAAATAAATACTGGAAACGTTTTACCAATAAATACTGCTTGGCAACCGAATAACTTTTTTCTCTCTGAAAAATTCGTTTTCAACCAAATATATGTGTTAGAAGCTACTATGTTAAATTGAAAATTCTTGTTTCTCATCTCAAATTCAATAAATATTTCAGCAGACATAATTCTACTTTCAACATAGTACATACGTCACTTACCAATAATCCTAATATTGAAGTCCCAAAGTATCGTCTTGAACACGCGGTAAAGTCCAGGCACGACCGAGATAAATACGCGCGCGATTATCGGTGTAAAAGTGTAGATGTAGAGATTGTATGTTACAAATGTCGTAGTAAGTGTTTTGTATATTATAAAAAGCGTTTCTTATTATTTTATACAAGTTATTTTTACAGTTTTATTAATTAATTATTATTAACACGACTTAGAATTTAGTTTAATTTTTTCTTTAGTTTGTACTAATAAGATGAGAGAAAAATTTTCTGTTTCGTTTTTTTTTTATAAATTTTTTTATTATAATATTATACAAAGTTGCTAAGGTTACGGTTACTTTAAGGCCGACACTTTAAGGCACATAAGTCGAAATCTTGGAAAAATATTTTTCAATCAGTTTTTTTTTTGTTTATTTTTAAAATAACTTTTTAAATAGTTTTTTTGTTTTATTCCTAAAATGGCGAAAGAATAAAAATTCTTTGTTCGATCACAGATTTTTTTGTTGCTTCTTCTTCGAAAAATTACTCAAAAACTCAAAGTTGAATTCGAAAAACTTGAACTTGGAACTAATCAAAACTTTGTCTGGTTTATTGTTTTATTATTATTTATCTTGTATGAGAATAAAACTAGCCCGTTTGATATATTATTATTATTATTAGTTTAATATTGCCCTGTTTGAAAAATTGTGGTAACTACGAAAAATCCAAAAATATTAAGCCCTAATAAACTTAAACAAATATTATTTTGTATTAAAGTTAAAATATTGAGTCTGTTGATGTTGTATTATAGTATTTGCCCGAAACAGCGCTTCAATATGTTAACTTTAACGTTAAAAACGGAAATGTTGTTATGTAGATATGGTGAAAAATGTGGTAGATTGTAGAATAAATACGCCCTTGGTAGTAAATTAACGAAAACCGAAACGGTAAACTTGTTGTATTTAACGTAAGTCCTCAATAATATTCTTCTTGTAGTATGTGTAGCTCACTGCGAATAGGCTAAGGGACATTCTGTAGTTTGTATATTCTGATGATGGCTTTTTATTTTGGCCGAAATTTGAGGGGATGCTTTTGTGTTTTTTTTTTTCTGTAGTCGAGTGGTAAATTCTGAAAAAAAAAAGAAAATATTTTAGGAAATTAAAGCTTGTTCAGGTTTTAGAAGCATTCTTATGGCCACTACTGCTCGCATGCTGATAAAAATATTTAACTTATCTTTATTTCTATTCTTAGGTTTACTAATTTCAGAGTTTGAGGCAAGAAATTTGGAGTTTGATCAGTAATTATAAGCTCCAAATAACGACATTTACTTAGTATTGTTGGTTTTGTACCACGATGAAAATTAGCTTTAGGCATGTGCTGTAGTTTGGGAACTACCTACTGAAATAGTTGTATAATAATTGTATATTAATAATAGTTTATAAGCGTGTACTTCGAAATTGATTCTAGGAGCTTTCATTAGATACCTACTGCTGAAGCAGTTTGGATTCTTAAATTATGTCATTTGTCAGCTGACTCACCAGAGAAGTATGAGAAGAGTATTGTAGTGGTTCGCTTTCGCCATGGTGTTCAGAATCTAACTTGAAATCTAGAAATTACTGCCTTATTCGGGCAAAGAGATAATCGCGTTTATTCTGGATTTTGAAAGAATGGATTCCAGAAATATAAAGGCCGGTATTAGTTAGTAGTTTCAAGCTTAAAATTCACTGTGATATGATTTAGATAGTGATTATTGTTAAGAGTTATAAAAGACTTGAGTTGTCTCAATTGAACTTTGATTTTGGAATGAACGAACCCAAGATTTCTGTCCCGCACTCCAGAGCCAAGACATTGGTGTCAGAAGAGGGATATAATTCGAGGACTTTAAAGCGAAATCCGATTGCAGAATAGCGTGGACACTGTAAACACTGTGAACACTAAGTGAACACTGGGACAGTTAGTTACTGCAAGCATTAACAAAGAATCGATATGCATGAGAAAAACACTGGTTCAGCTGTGTGAAGAACGGATGATAAATGGACTACCAAACAAATGAGAGCAGATCAAGAAGCAGACCAGGACATCGGGCAATTTCTACATCTTATAGAAAATGATAGATGTAAGCCAGAATGGAGGGAAGTGTGGAACAAAAGTTTGATTTACAAGGCGTTGTCGGCTCAGTGGAACTCTCTGGCCGTAGAAAATGGTTTACTGAAAAGAATTTGAGAGTGCCGATAGAAAATCTACTAAGAGCCAACTTTATTCCAAAAGATCGAGTAGAAGATGTATCAAAAGAAATACATTACGGAACTTCAGGGGCACATTTTGGAGTTAACAAGACTTTGGACAAAATTCGGGAACGTTTTTACTGGGTTCACTATCATGAAGACGTTAAAAACTGATGCCGGAAATGCGACATCTGTGCTACCAGTAAAGGCCCCAAACTAAGATCTCGAGGGCCCATGAAACAGTACAACGTCGGTTTCCTATTCGAAAGAATAGCGATAGAATGATGTGGCCGGACCGTTCCACTATTGCCCAGGTACTAGTGGGAGAAGTTTTTAGTCGTCATGGTGTGCCACTAGAGTTGCATTCAGATCAGGGACAAAACTTTGAATCTGCCATCTTTAAGAAAATTTCTGAGATCATGAGCATTCATAAGACAAGGACAATAGCTTCACATCCACAGTCTGATGGCATGGCAGAACGATTTAATAAGACCATAGAGGAACACCTGACAAAAGTGGTCGCAAAGAACCAGCGAAATTGGGACAAATATTTGCCTCTATTTTAAATGGCTTACAGAGTAGCTGTTCATGAGTCAACAGGTGAAAATCCAGCTAGAATCGTTTTTGGAAGGGAACTCAGGTTAACTTGCGATCTGATGTTTGGAATACCTGAAGAAGAACGAAAAGAAATTCGAGATTATGCCGACGAAGTGAGGGCATGACTTCTGGGGATAGTTGACCCTACAGTATAGTCAAGAGGATCAATGATTTGGTTTATCGAGTTCAGCGCAACACTAGGAGTAAGATGAAAGTTGTACATCTAGGCAGATTGACGAAATATCATGGGCGTGAAGTTGATCGAGACGTACAATCTTAAGAGGAGGGCAGCGTAGCGGTGAGCTTTAGCCATGATGTACAGAATCTAACTTGAAATCTGAAAAATACTGCCTTATTCGGACAGAGGGATTATTCTGGATTTTACAAGAATGGATTACAGATATATAAAGGCCGGTATTAGTTAGTAGTTTTAAGTTTAAGATTGACTGTGATATGATTTAGCTAGTGATTATTGTTAAGAGTTGTGAAAGAAAGTTAATTAGTGTCGGAGAATATAGTAACGTGGAATAAATTATTGTTGCGTTACTTGGACTTTGATTTTGGAATAAACAAACCCAAGATTTATCACGCACCTCAGAGTTGTGACAGTATTTTAAATAACTTCCCACTTGCGCAGAGCTCTGAGAATGTCCAAAAAACATCAGGATAATTTAGGCTGTTCGTTTGTACTTGCTCTACTTGCTGGAAAAATTAGAAAGTTCTGCTAGGAGCTGCTATTCATAAGCTTATATATGGGACAAGTGGACGCCGATCTGCTGCTGCGATCTGCTTGAAGCAAGAAAAGCAGTACAAAGGAACACCCTAATTGTGTTTCTGCTGGTAAGTCTGAGAATAATACAAAATAGATAGAATATGGAAAACATTAAAGAATGAAAAATTTGCAGGACCAGGTGAAGTCTCAGGTTGACTATTTAAATACGGAATCAGCTAACCTACTAAATCAAACATTCATGAAGAATGGAAGATATGCTATATGTCCACCATATTTAAGAAGGGTGACAAGACCAAATATCAAAATCACCGTGGCATAGCAGAATTCATTTCGATGATAGAATCGTACAAGAATACCAGGTCGTGGAAGCAGATCTGCGAGAAGTGAATCACATATTTACAGTCCAGGTCATAGAGAACAAAACTGACAGGAAACCAAAAATTACATTTCAAGGCCAATTCACACACTTGCTCGTGCCAGTCCAGCACTGACCGCCAGCACTGGAGCGAGTGGAGAGTGTGCCTATGTTTCCTGCCAGTATAGGATAGCGCAGTAGAAACTTATGATTGACTGGAATCGTGAAGACGACCTGGATCCAGCGCTTTGCCAGCCAAGAATTGGCATGTCAATGAGACTGGATACGTGTAAATAGGCCTTAACTTCTCATAGATCTTGAATAAATCATATGACCCTGCGTTCCTATTATAAAGCTTTGGAGAAGTCAAGAAACAACAAACTTGAATACTGAATTTATAAAAGCAATGGAGCTTTTGTACGACCAACCAACAACAAAGAATAAAACAGAAACATAACTTTCTAAATGATTTACAGTGTCAAAGTATTCGAAACAGGGATGCTGGAAGAGGTACTAAAAGACTGGAGAGGGAATTTCCACGCTATAGGCCTTTCACTAAACGAGGATATTCAATAAGCATTAGGCTTGTTGACGACCAGATGTTGAATCAATGGATAATGAAAAAACGTGTTCAGGTCGACAATATCAAGATTTGATCCTGGAAAGTGGACAAAGCATAAGCCAGATACCATAACCCAGGAGTGAAAATTAACCACGATGTATTCCTAGACACTGCAGATCCAGATACAAAGGTTTTCAGTAATTTTAACTTTTAGAGAATGTTTTTTTTTGAAATAGAGATTTTTGTAGCTAATTGCAAACCTATACTTTTTTTTGGTTCATTTCTATCTGAAGTGTGCAGATGCTTTGAGGTAATTTTTCAGCTGTTACAGTCAATCTGAAAAGCTATGAAGCTCTGGTAGTATTTTGAGAGTACTGAGAAGTTCTAGAAGCATCTCAAAGATTATTCGAAGATGAGAAGTTAGTTGAAATATATTCTGAAGTTATGATTTTGAGTTTTTTCATGTTTTGAAAGAGTTGAGATTGCCTCAAACATTATTTGAGCAACGGATCTACCCAAGAAATAAAATTTACTTCAACTTAGCTAGGCATTGCAACAATCTAAGCTATGTGATAAAATGGCGTTTAGACCAAATACAAATTAAATTTTTAAATATGGTTTCTGATTAACTATGGTCGAAATACATCTCAAAGGATACTTCTTTCTGATTATCAGCATACTATTTTTTGTTTCGATTATTGGAATAATTTTAGAATTTCTTTTCCTATAGGAGCATTATAAATTAATACTAGAGAAAAAATTCGAGCAGAACAAGAATACATTAGTAAGATGCAATGGTGGAAAAAACATTAGACTACTAAACTAGAAAATAAGAGGGATTTTAAATACAAAAAAGCCAGTTAAACACAAAAGGTGACATAGCATTCAAGAAGTAACGCATAAAAAACAAATATTGCAGTAACTACCTGTTTTTCTACACAACTTATCATTCTATGATATCCATTTATTTATTTGTAATTTCAATGAAAAAAATAAATCAAAATAAATAATAAATGCAATACAAAAAACTACATCTCCATTGGTACCATGCCTCTAAATCAAACCTGCATAAACAAGATACGAAATCCAAAGAAAAGATGCACGAACACACTTAAAGCCTTAAAGCAACTTAAGTAAAAGGAATGGAAGTGATGTCAAGAAAAAACTCACTTTTTTTCCGGTTGTATGTAAAAAATTTTCCAAAAAATTGGAAAAAAACTGTAGGTATAGACAGGTTAGGGGGATTTTGTGAAGGGGTTCTTTTCGCAGTTAGCTAGATACTGAAAATTCACATCCCTGAAATTTTGAAAGCCCGAATTTGCCCATAGTATATAAGTAAAGTATATAACAAATCGGCCTATGCGCGATGGCGTGCAGGCCGGGGTCCGGGGCAGTCCCCCCTTTTGCGAAACGTGCAGGGGGGAAATTGCATCGGACTTCTCTATCGTTGCATCTGCCTATCTTTGCCTCTGTATGTCTGTCTCCCCCCAATTAGAATAGAATGGATGCATTTTTGGGACATTCTATGGAAAAATTGAACTCAGTTTTATAGGGAAAATGTATAAAAAGCATAGAGTTTGGGCTACTAGGCGTTGTTTTATTCAGAAATTAATGGTTTCTAGTCCTTTTTGTTTCAATATCATGTTATGTTTAAGGATATATAAAATTTCAGATATAATGGCCCATGCCTAGATTCAAAATGTTTGGTTATACGTATTATGTTGTACCTACCATTTCTGTTTTCTTCCTTATTTTCTCTCATTAAAATCAGAAAGGCTAGAAAGAAGCTGTATGCTTGGTTTATTGCTGAATAGATTTCTGCAGCACTTTTACAAATATTCCATTTGCTGACCTTCTTAAGGTCGTTGAGTCCGTGTTTTGAGTCCATATAGAGCATCTTCTACCAATCAAATTTAAGAAAACTCCATCGACAAAGCACAAACAGCTGTTCCGGTAACCGCAAGCTCAAAGTTTTGATTGCGCTGTTGCCAGTTGTGAAATGAAATCTAATTACAAAAAATTGTGTATGATAATAATTCGAAAGAAAATGTTATGAACTTTTGAATCTCTAAGTAATTAATTTAACTATTTTTCTTGGTATTTTGCCTAAATTTTAGACTCAGGCTCTGGCAATCCCAACAAAGGTCTGAACTGAATAGATTGCTGCAGCACTTTTACAAATATTTTATTTGCTGACCTTCTTAAGGTCGTTGAGTCCGTGTTTTGAGTCCATATAGGGTCCCAACTATTAGGATGCATGCTTTGTAGAATTTTCTCTCAAATATTACCGGAATGATCGGTTGAGAGAGGATGTAACTGAATTTTCCGAATGCCATTCCTCTTGAGTTCATCTGCTGGAAGATGATGGCAAAGGTGGTTGGGACTTTTTCCATCTACATTCACGTCTATTTCCTCCCAGGATCTAGACATCTAATACATTCTCCAATACATATTCAGATGAATTATATAAATTGGCAATTGAAAGGAAAATGAGAGCAGTTGCCAATATCATTCATTTACATTGGAGCAGTAGTACTGCTGCTAAACAATGTCGAACTCAGTAAGCAATAAGCGACAAAGACTTTGTTGGGTTAAAACCTTTCGAAAAAAAAAACTACATTTAGACAACGAATAAAGCGGAGAAAATACCAAAACGGCACGAAAAGCAGATCCACAAAAGACCATTACATACCTTATGAGAATTATCATTATTTATACAACTTTGTTTATTTATGTTCAAAAATCTTTGATCGTTTCTCAGGAACGCCCCAAATACCATCCAGCTATGTAGACACTCCGTCTCTATCCGACCAACAGCTATTCTCTATAGCTGACTCTCGCTCGCTCTATGAGCTGTAGGGGTAAACTCGTGGACGCTGCAGGGTGGGTTTTTGGGGAGCCGATTTTCAGGGAATGGGAATTTTTGAGGGGTACGAGGGACGGATGCATGAATGTGGGGACCGAGCGGGATGATCATCAACATCATGGTGTTTCTATGGAATTCCACGGAAATAACTGAAAATAATCCGTTTTTGTTGTCAGGTCTGATTTTTTCAATATTCACACGTTACAGAATATAGAAAAAGAAAATTCAAAAGGTAAAGGCTATCTCAATGAGCTAGCACAAAAGTTATTTTTTAGAGGTAGCAAAATGGAAATATGCCAATCAAAATTTGAAAATTTGAAGAAATGACAAAATAAATGATTTTCTGAAATATTGATCTAGAAAAAATGCAGCAAATTTTTTAAATTTAATATCCGTTAAGTACCTACATAAAGAAATCCCAAATAATCTTTTCATCAAGTCAGGAGAATCTAATGAAAAAGCCTTCCATAACAGCTAGAGAAGTAAATTACATTGGAGATTGGATGAATTTCAGAGTCTAATCCCAAGAATTTTATAGGGTTTAGAAGAAAACTGTGAAAAATTTCAAGAGTTGGTTGGCTGATTGGCTGTAGTGGAGATCTAGATGATTCCATGGACTGCAGCCTGTTGGCTTATTGTGTACCTTAATTTTTTTCTTGCCTTACAAGACTCCTATTCCCTGTATCAGGCTTAATAGCCCTTGGAAAAGATTTTCAGGCGGTAGTCAAGCTCGGTCTGTATTACTCTCAAGAGTCTCTATCTTTTGTGTGATAGGGCTACACAATCATAATATGATCTGGGAAGTTGTTTCGTCTTCCTCTCCACATAGTCTGCATTCACTGAGTCCAGAAGTTATTTAAATCTAGAAAATTATAAGGGTGCTGGCCTAAGATATATTTTTCAAAATGAAAAACATCCAAAAAAGCTTGCCTATACTCCAGCTTCTTCAAAAACCAGATGGAGATCAAACTCGAAATCAGAGGAGAATGGGCACTTCCACTAAAATTTAAATACGCAATCTAAGCATAAAATCTTAAATGACGAACTATTTTAGCTATATTTGCCAAAAAAGTTGATCTACGAGCTTAAATGAGTTTTCTACAGGCCCTGCAAAAGTGGAAATATTTGAAATCCTTTAAATTCCCCAGACGATGACGTATAAGCGGTATAAACATCTACCAATCAAATTTGAGAAGACTCCATCGACAAAGCACGAACAGCTGTTCCGGTGGCCGCAGGCTCAAAGTTTTGATTGCGTTGTTGCCAGTTGTGAAATTAAAACTCATTACAAAAAATAAATTCAAATTGTGTATAATAATAATTCAAAAGAAAATTTTATGAACTCTCCAATCTCTAAGTAATTAATTTAACTATTTTTCTTGGTATTTTGCCTAAATTTTAGACTTAAATGTATTACAAATTTTCAGTGCTGACAATGAGTGGCAACACTGTCAAAATTCCAGTTGTGACGTAGTGCGGATAAATTCTTCCGGGTTTTTAGTTAGAGAGTTTTATTTTCTATTTATATTCTGAACAAGGACCCCAAGTAAGGTTGCAGAAATTTCTATTTTTAGTTTCTTCATCCATTGATCAATTATTGTAGAACATGAAGATGGTTCTAGAAATCTAAACTCTCAGCGATTGAATATTGAGAATTCGATAGGAGCTTTAATTAACTAATGCTACATTTTTCTTCAGGAAAAATCTGAGATAATAGAGGATGAGGAAGTTCAGGAGGATTATTCCTTGGATAACGGACTCAACAGAAAATGTTTCGACTTTTCTTGACTTTCAACAGCATGAAGATCTGCAATTAGGTGTATGAATGAAGAAGGAACACCAGAAAAAAAAGTTAGTCAAGATGCAAAAAACATCGAATCCAGACGAATTTTAAAAACCTCCTCCAATTGGAAAATATCGTAATCTCCATTCTGCTGACAGCCCAGGTGTGAAATATGCTCTTCTTGCAAAAATTCCGGAAGAAATTCTCAAAATCCGAGAAATCTAAGTCACCTATATAAAGAAGTCTATAAAATCCAGACAAAATATTTCAAATTCAGAATCTACAAAATTCTGAAGACGATTATCCAAATTGAGAAATTAATTATTAATGATAGGTGAAGCTACTGCTTGTCCCTATTGGGCTGGTATTAGTACAAAGGCCCAAAGGATCATTTGAGAACTTAGGTTGACCGAATAATTCCCCTTTATTGGGATACTTTGAAGCTTGACAAAGCATATTTTGCAATAAATTTCACTTAAAAGAACTCGATGAAATATATTTATTTGTTCGAGCTAATCCATTATCAGGATAATATTAGTCCTATGTGTCCACTAAGTAAGTGATTTAGTGTAAAAGAAGGAAAATATTGATGATCCAGATTTCCCAATTATCTGTTAAGGATATCCTACTTTCACCTTCCACTTTTGAACAGTTCACTTTTACTACTATCTTTGTATCTTTTCCGATACCTTTTTCAGAACTTGAAAACCATACTGCTGAACCAGCTCCTGTCTTTGTGCCTCGAACTCTCGACAATCGACCTTACATTAAGGTTAATATTTTGATTTTGAAGTTGTCGGGTTGTTTGATAGTGGCGCAACGATTTCCATTGTTGGTTCAAAAGGTTTAAAGTTCCTCAAAAATTCCAATATTGTCATAAATCCTTCTTCCATTAAGTGTGTGGCTGTAGCTGATGACACACAACAGAAAGTTAGTGGTATCTATTATTGATTCACCTATTTACCATAATGATACTTGTCAAGTCTTAAAAGCTTTAGTGATACCATCCTTGGTACAGTTTTATTTTTGGTAGCGATTTTGCCAGTAAATTCTCATTGATAGTGGATTTCGATAAAAATACCTGGTTTGCCCAAAATACCCCTAACTTTGATTTTCAAAATTATAATTATGACGTTAACTCACTTTTTACCTTGGATGATTTGTCAGATAACCCTTCATTATATCCTTGTTCAGTCAGTATTGGATTCTTTTCGCGAAATATCTAGTGACACAGATTGGAGAACAAATAAAATTTCTATGAAAATTGATACCGGTGATGCCAAACCTTTTAAAAGAAAGCAATATTCCATATCAAGGGCTAGACCCGGATCCCGAACCCACGATTCGATAGTATCGTCCATATAAATTAGATAGATGATACTATCGAATCGTGGGTTCGGGATTCGGGCCCTGAACTAGTACGAAAAAGTAGCAATTGAACTTTGATGGATCCAAGAAAAGTTCATATAGGATTACTGGAAGGTAAAGCTAATTGGACCACATGGAAGTACAAAATGAACATTCTTTTAAGAGGTATTCCAAATGCAGTTGATATTTTGGAAGGAAAGTTGGTGCTCCCAGTTTTGAAAGAAGATGCGTTAGCAGTTGAAATTGC